GGTTTGGAAGGTGACAGAGTACATCATTCTTCTCCAAGATCAGTTATATTCTATAGTTACAGTTCTAGACCAAATAATTCTCAATGACAAGATCTACAATAAAAGGCTGGATAATGGCTATGATAGGACTAGAGAATATTAACATTAAAGGAGAAAAACCCATTTCCCCCCAAAAAACTGGCAATATTAATTGGTTTTAAATTGTATTTAAATTAAATACAACCCCCCCACAGGTTTCCAGCATGGAAGGGACACTCCTCATGAAAAAAGATATCCAGGAAAACTATTCAATTTTTCTCCTTACAAGTTCTCAAGAAACTACAAGATTAGTCTATACTTAAAAGATAACTCATCACAGAACAGAACATCAACATGACTAAATCCTTCCCAACCCAATGATTCTACATTAAAATTATTAGATTAGGTTACCTGAGCCACCTTAAAATTAGAAGCGGGTGGCATCCTGATAGTATCAAATGCATTTCGCCACCGAAATCACTGCCTGGGTGCAGCCTGGCTTCATCCCCTCTCTGAGGGGTGCTCTGGAAGCCATTTTTTCAAGCCGGGAAAACTCCCGGCTTTGAAAAGAGATGCGAGGAGCATCCCTTGGAGCAGCAATGGAGCCAGGCTGCACCTGGGTGGTGATTTCAGCAGTTAAATGCATGTGATACTATCAGGACACCACCTGCTTCTAATTTTAAAATGGCTTAGGTAAATCAGCTTATAACCTAATCCGATAGTCTCCAAATACTCAAATAAATGCAACAAGTAAAAGACAGTGACTAATATTTATGCTTGCGAATGGAAATAATTTTTAAAACTAAACTTTGCATACAATTAAGATATGGTACAGAATTTTATAGGCCCAGCTAATAACATTTAAATTTAGTATAAATTAGAACTTATTTTGCAGCAATTGTTGATGCATTCAAAAAAAGCACTTGTTTAGTATTTAGCTAAATCCGCTCTGCTGTATAGAATCAGTTAAGACACTACTGGAAAACATATAAACTGAGACAGAAAAATTAGTGCTGGAAAATGTAACATTTGTTAGCTCTTTAATACAGTTTCACATGCAATTAATTAATAACTTTATTTTAGAATTAAGCTCTTGTTAAAATTCCAATACAAGCCAAACCTCTGTATTTTAAAAGATCAATTCAATTAAGTTGTCTTTAACATTAGAAAATTTGCGTAGTATACAGTGTTAAGAATATATGATCTTTTATTTTGAACTATTTTGATAAGTGTATTTGACAAATTTTGTTTGTTTGTATTTTTAAACTGATAATAAAGTTATTATAAAAAAAATTCCATCTTAATTGATAAGTTAACTGATTCTGAGATATGGACAGCTTTAAAGAGTAAAGCTATTATATATTCAGGAATATGGCAAATGAATTATTTTGTGCACAACTTAAACTTACCAGAGATTTCTTAACTAAGGGGAGATGCAGATGAGCAGCTGTGGGCTGCCCTGGGAAGTGGAGGATTGGGGCGGAGGCTGCCCCACGCCTTGGCCCCAATCCACCTTTTTGGTGCCTGGGAAAGGAGCACCAAAATAGCACTCCTTTCTCAAGCCACAGAAAGTGTGCTACAAGGAGCGCATCTCTTCCACGTCTCTTCCAATGCAGCATGTGAATACTCTGTGTCAGGAGGAAGTAAGCAGAGGCTGGATGGCCATCTGTCGGGGATGCTTTGATTGGGAGTTCCTGCATGGCAGGGGGTTGGACTGGATGGCGCTTGTGGTCTCTTCCAACTCTATGAATCTATGATTCTATGATTCTATAAGTATTCAGGGCATGTGCCATGCGTAATAGCATGCACCCTGATGATGTCCTCGGGAAGGGGTTCAGGCCGCAAGCGTGCGGCTGCCCCTCCCCTTCCCTGCTGCCAAGATGGAGCTTTGTGCCATCTGCAGAGGCTCTAAGATGTTCATATTTCTTAATCAACAAAGCACTAATCAAAAAATTAATCAAGCAATGAATTATTTTTTACTTAACACAAATAAATCTCAAGATAAATATCTAATTCTGATAAACAAAATTGGTTTAGTAATGAAATATTTAGATAACATTTATGTTCATGTCAAAAATCAACAACTCCTTAGGCATATATTTTAAATATTTATTTTCCACCATACCATTCAAATAATCAATAAGGCCCCTTACATCAAAATATAAATGACTGCTTTAAAAATAGCACAGCAAAAGCTACAACATATAAATTATTTATTTTAAAAATGAACCAGAACACTACCTAGAATTTTTTAAAAAAATTCAATAGGTGGAGTTTCCTTCAGAAGGGTGTGTGTCTTCACCTGGTTGTTACTGTTAAGAAGATTGTGCATCAGATAACCTCTCACCACATCTTCAGAAGCCTCAGGCTTAATCCAAAAACATTTGGGGTAAAGGTAACTATAAAGATTATTTCTTTATTACATAGGATATTAAATACAACTTAAATTATGACAAGTGTCAAATGTTGGATATATAATTTCTTCTGGGGAATGTGCGTAATTCTTACTTAGGGCCTAAGCAGACTGCCAGAAACAGTGCACATTAAATTGAGGCACTGCCCAGGCTCAGTGCTAGGGAATCATGGGAACTGTAATTTATTGTGGCACCAGAGCTCTCTGACAGAGAAGGCTCAATGTCTCAGGAAAAAAATACAATTCTCATGATTCCATAGCACTGAGCCAGGGCAGTGCCTCAATTTAATGTGCACTATTTCTGGCAGTCTGCTTAGGCCTTTAATTTCATTCTCAAAGGAAGCAATAAGCAATTTAAGCAATTTTGTTCCCAGTGTGAAAATGTTTGCAGAAACATCCTAAATTGCAATAGTCTTTGAAAACAACACTTTTGAAAGTGGACTTTTCAAAGACTATTGCAATTTGGGATGTATTCTACATGAATTTTACATATATAGACCTTTTTCTTTTCTTTTCTTGTTTTTCTTGTTTTTGGTTTTTTGCTGCTTTTTTAGGGTTTTTTGGGGGGGGGTTTGCATAAGAAACAGGATTTTCTCCACAGAAAACAGCATTCCCAGTACAGAAAGTGCTATCTCCTGCGAAGATGCTGTAGTTGAGTTTGCACCTGCCTTTTCTCCCCCAATGAAAACAGTATTTTCTACATAGGAAATGGCATTTTCTGTACAGCAAATGGTGATTTGTCCAAGGTTACAGAGTGGGTATTTATGCCTAAAAAAGAATTTGAATCCTGGTCTCCCTGAGTTCTAACACTCAGATCATTACTATCATGCTAGTTCTCTGACAGTAGCACACAGACACTGTTAACAAGTCTCCTGACAAAGATGATCTTTTTACAAAGTCTTTTTACCTGCCAAGCCCCCACATTTTTCTTCATCTAGCAGGAATTTTTTAAAAACAGCATTGGCATTGGGAGGAGGATGAATGACGGCTGGAGAAACAATTTTGCGACAGCATGTCTGCTGTAAACAATACAATAAAGTTTGAGCTGCAGAAAATGGAATTCTAATCCTACTGAAGTCGTGTGTGCTTGCCTACAACAGGCAAGCTAAACAGCAACTGCCACCAAAATCCCTTACTGAGTATGCATGAGTAGCAAAAGAGAGAGAGATTTTAAAATTAAGCTGTCTCAACAACAACATCCAGTATGTTAACCAAAACAGATCTGTAAGTTTGGCCATCAAAATGAAATCATACAAAAAGTGGAGGCTGGTGAATGTTGGAAAGTCAGCAACCTGAGAGGTACTGGAAGTTCCCCTGCATACATGGGAACAAAACAGAGACAAAATAGAGCAGGACTAGCATGCTCCACTTTTGTATGTGCTTATTTAAATCACTTTTAGAATGTTTAGATAGAGTGTCAAATATAAAAGAGTGGGGAGGGATAAGCTATTAAGAGCCATGGGTTGGAGGCTAGGAATAGGTATCAGATGTCCAGGTTCTGTAGTAGTCTACTCTTATGAGCCCTGTGGAAAGTGGTTTTGGGATACTGTACCTTAGAATAATACTCCGGGGGTGATTGGGGAAAAAAATGCCATGTACTCATATTCAGGGGCATAAGACTGATTCCCTAGGACTGGTGTGGGAGAGAAGGCAGGAACAATGAAGTCATACAATAGTGAAGCCTCTCTATTCTAACAACAGGAACATGCTGGTTCTAGGAAGTGAGATTTTGCCCTTCCAAAGTATTTCTGAGATTATATGGTTCAATTGTGTATACCTATTTCTAGCTACCTGTTTGCTGTAGACCTTGTTGACAGCTAAACCTTGCACCCTTCTGCTGACATCTCCTTGGCAGCCAGAAAGACTCAGAGGTAGGGAGGACCTGAGTGATGACAGATGGCTGGGACAAGAAGACAAGGTACTCAAGACTACTAAAACCTAGAATGTGCACTGCTTATGCTATAAACCTTAGAGTGATAAGAGCATGTATATGTGCATGTCTTAGAACTAACAGCAGTAATTCCTATGGGGTCCAGTCCCTTGGCTACTTTCATCCTATGTTGATAATAGTTTTTAAAAGAACTTAGGCTGTAATTCTTTACATCAGGCTATTTATACATGTAAATATTAATAATGATGACTAATGTTAATATTCTCTATATCTACTGAAAGTATGGAAGGAACAAACCAATGTGAAAAAGTGGAACTTATTTTTGAGGAAGCATTTTAAAAAGGATTATGTTATGGGTCTCTAAATCACTTCTTAAAAATCAGTTTATAAGGAAAAAACGTTAGGATGCCATATCAGATAACTTCAAATTAATCCTTGTAATGAAGATCATAGTAATATTTTATTCTATATTTACAATTATTGTAAACCATTAAATTGCCGAGAGATTATTTTTTTTTGGGGGGGGGAAGCTTTCATATTAAATTCTGTGTCTAGAACATGCAATGGAAGTAAGGAATCACTATCCTCTGACCGCTGGCAAGAAGATATGAAACTACATTCTTTCATTTATCCATAATGTTTACAACAACTTACTTGAAAAGCACTGAATAATGGGATTGAAGCATGGTGTAGTGGTTTGGGCATTAGACTGTGACTCTGGAGATCAGGGTTTGATTCCCCACTTGGTTATGTAAACCTACTGGGTGACCTTGGCTGAATTATATTCTCAGCCCCAGAAAACCCATGATAGGTTTGCCTTAGGGTCACTATATGTTGGAAATGACTTGAAGGCACACAACAACAAAACAGTTCCCTGACTGCTGACAAAAAGATCTGAAACTAAATCTTTTCATTTTGCCATTATGTTTATGACACCTTCCTTGAAAAGCTCTGAATAATGGGACTTGAATTCCTAGTGGCATTAACATTGGAAAACCGACTTTTCAGTGAAATCTTTAATTTAGGTTGCAATTCTGTATAATTACATGCAGAGATTTGCTCTACTGAAATCAGTCCTACAGTAAGAGATCTGATGTGTACCTTGCTTGGCAAGGTCAGGGTTGAACAGATTTGTGAAGAAAACTCCAGGAATGAAGTCATAAGAAATTCAACTAGGATTGATGCAGTATCCTGCTGCAAGAATGCTCTCCCCAAGGAAACTTTCTTGGCATCTATTTGAATGCTTATATGGTATGGGAATAACTTTTAATTTGTCCACTGCCTTTTAACTATTTAGCACTAAAGTTTCTCTTTTTTATTCTGACACATTTTATTTTTATTTTCTGTTTGTACAGATTTTTTTTCCTTTGAAATTGCAAACTGCCTTCAGATCACTTGTTTAACAAAAGAACAAGTTACAAATTGATTAATTAAGCTACTGATACAGGTTCAGAAAAGAACTATTGTGTTCATCATATACATATTTCATGTAAGTGGTAGCTGATATGTGGTTGAAAGGTTTGCAGTTTCTAACATTGGTAATAGTAAGGCTGACACTAGAACACTAAATCTGTAAGGTTCAGTTTTACAGTTTATGGCTTTCTTACTACTCTTTGCATGCATTTGTCATCATACTGATGTTTCTGGAGCTCATTCTAGCAGGGAAATGACACAAAAGCCCATAACATACACAATCTCCTGCCACAAAAGAGAAAAGAATTGGTGCCAGTGAGAGAAAAACCAGACTTGTGAAAGCTACAATGATTATGAGGTTAAAGGGTGCTCAACAATGGCTCCTTTTCAACCTGGAAGGAAGTGACCAGTGGGGTGCCACAGGGCTCTGTCCTGGGCCCAGTGCTATTCAATATCTTTATTAATGACTTGGATGATGGTACTGGGGGCATAGTTATCAAATTTGCAGATGACACCAAATTAGGAGGAGTAGCTAATACCCCAGAGGACAGGATCAAAATTCAAAATGACTTGAACAGACTAGAAAGCTGGGCCAAAGCTAACAAAATGAAATTCAACACAGAGAAATGTAAGGTACTGCACTAGGATGGAATATATGATATACGATGGGGGACACCTAGCTGAATGCGACTACATGTGAAAGGGATCTAGGAGACCAGGTAGACCACAAGTTGAACATGAG